GCGACCTACTTCCATCATGGAGGTGGGGGACGAGACCTGGACACGGCGGGCAGGCCAGTCTGGCGACGTGCTGCTCCTGTCCGGTCTACCCCAGGTGCCCCTGGCCCTGAGGCGACTGGTATGGACCCAGAAGCGGAGAGGCACTTCAAGCTGTCACACTCCATTGATGGGAGCCAGTTTGCCCAGGCTCCGGCGGCAACTTGCACTGAGGAAGAACGGACCTTTGCGGAGGAGGTCCCATCCGTCTGCAGGGTCCACATTCGGCAGGAGATCCTGTCGGCTGACTACGAGGATGATGCTGCGCAGAAGGTTGGACGAGCAACAACCTTCACAGTCCTTCCAGATCTTCCACGCGGAGGCGGCCAAGGCCCTTCGAATTCAATCGGAGGCCCTTCAGGGTCTCTCAGCCGCTGAGCTCAAGGCGGAGCGCGCCAAATCCGAGGAGGCCGAACGGGAGGAGAAGGCGGACCACGTGACCCAGTTGCAGGCCACTGTCTTGGCCCCCATTCAGGAGGGCATGCAGTCGGTCCCGGACAGCCAGGTAGCGAGACCCTGCCTCCTCCGGCGGCCCCGGCCAATGTGACTCCTCGCTACCCGCGCCTCACTGCTAGCAACGTCACCTCAATTGTTGGCAAAGACTGGCGCAAGAAGCACTACCCAGGCGCCAGCAAGGATCGCCACTTCTTTTGGGGCGAGGCCGAGTGCGGCCTGATCCTTCCCAGCATCTCGGCCTGGGAGGTCGTCACCAAGGAGAAGGGAGCCACAAAAGGGGGCTACATGTGCAGATATTGCCAGGGCTTTTGGAAGGCCTCCAGGGGAGGCAGCCGCTTCTTGCAGATTACCGGTGAACAGCGGGGATCCCTGGCCTCCAGCTGGTGCTGGATGAGCCACCCGAGGCCCTCTACAACAAGTGGATCAAGGAACGCATGGAGTTCTACAAGCGGGTGGAGCCCTGCGCGGCCCCCAGAGATGAGCGCCTTGAGCTGGTGGGCAAGATGAACCATCGCTTGCGGTTCAGCACCAGCAACAACGTTGGGGCAGTGTCCGATGCCATCTGGCAGGTCATCCTGAGCAACGAAGAGATGAAGGGCATCCGGGCGATCCAGCAAGTGGCCCAGCAGGTCACAGCAGCGGCCTGAAGGGGCTGCCTAGTGAGTGAGGGTGCCGCGGGTGACTCGGCTTAGACCGTTTTTCTGTCTCACCCCATTTTGCATCCATTTTGAGCTCTCTGCACATCCGTGCTTGGACGCCGTAAGTGTCCTCCCCCAAGTCCAGGTGCCCATTGGCCCTGAACCGGGGGGGACCCGGTGGTGGCCATGGTGCGGCGCCTAGACGACCGACCTGTTGCGCACAAAGAGGACCGCTCTGGAACTTTGTTTCATCATGCATGCAGAGCAGCTGTGTGAGTCTGTGTGAGGACTTTGAGGTACTAGGAACTTGAGGCTGCTAGGCGTACTTCTCACCTCTCCTTTTCTTTCCCCTCGGTGAATTTAGGCTTCTTTGGGGAAGCCGGCTTGGTTTGGCGGTCTCGTGACGCCATGAATTTTACTAGTGAGGCTTTCCTGAATCGCACACCCTATTGTCGTGCTTGGGACTCGCTGCCCCGCCATATTTTTGATACCTTGGTGGATGAGGGATTTCCCCCCCGCCAAACTGATGGCGAACTACTGGCGGTGGCTTGCTTGCGGGTGGGTAACCCGGACGAGTCCCTGGAGCTTGGGGGCCACCCTGCGGCGGCCTTCAGGCCTCTGGTTTGGGGTTACGACCCTGATGATCCGGACATTCACATGGTCCCGGAGGACTACCTGATGGCGCTGGTTGCGGCGGCCGCAGCTCGCCTCCCCCAACCACTACACCAGCATGACTTGGAGAAGATCAGATCCACCTTGTGGGACCCTGCTTATCAAGGTCACTCAGGGGCCCATGTCCTCGACTTACGGCCCGCTCGAGTACACTTACGATCGGCGAGACATGCAGACATGGCACAACCGCAAGAGCCCTCCTCCTTTGCTCCAACTGGAGCTCCTTAAGTGGAGGCACTGGCGCCCAGGACAAGTGGCCACGCTGGAACCCACTACTCAGCGGGCTCTGGAGCTCCATCTACGCAGCCGATGGGCAGAACGCCTCACTGCCCACTTTGCACCCTATGCAGAACATCTCCCGAACCTGGAGGCTGTCATGCGGGACTCTGACTTCTGCATGGAGTTGAAGCACCTCCTGGGCGATGCCAGGTTCCGCTCCATCAGGCAACACTGCTTGGTATACGAGAACCTCCGCAAACGGGGCTTTGTGGCGATTCCATGGAGGGAGTCGGACGTGCGGGCCCTGCTGAACAGGTTGCAGGCAGATGAGATCTCACCCGTATACAAACTCCAACAGATATGGCAGACACTGAACTGGTTGTCCAAGATCTTTGGCCTACTCAAGGTGGACGAACATCAGCGCCTTGTCACCAAGAAGAAGGCCCTGGAGGAGGAGCTCGCTCCCACGGTGGTTCGTCCCCAGAAGAAAGCTGCAGTCCCTTCGCGGGAAGTGATTTGGGCACTGGAGGAAGGAGCGGCGCTTGGGGGACCCCCTGGTGCCCCTGGCCCAGCGACCCCGGCGCCTGCTGCCCCTGGCCGGGAGCGCCATGAGCAGCTGGACGCGTTCATCCTGGGCTTTGCCAGATTCCAGGTTGGCTGCAGTGCCCGCTTCGATGACCTACAGCATGTCCGCCCGGAGGAACTCCGGACCACCTCCAACACCATTGAGCTTCAGGCCTGGCAGACTAAGGTGGCCCATGCAGCCCGTATCCGAACGAAACCGGTTCCGCTGATATGCCCGAAGTACAGCTTCTCTGGAGCACCTTGGTACCTCCAGTTTGTTTCCACGGTGAGGAAACTCTCAATGCTCAAGGCCTTTGAGGGTATGGACTTTCTCCTCCCCACGATCAGCAAAGACTTTGCAGGACTGATCCCGCGCCCCTCGGGAGGTGACCGGGCCCTGCGTTGGCTCAAAGATGCCCTTCGACGCCGGGGGGTGGCCCAGGAACACGTTACGCCCCTCACCTGGCATTCCTTCCGGATCTTCATTCCGGACTGTGCATTCCAGCTCGGGGTTCCCCGTTCTGAACGGCAATACCTGGGGAACTGGATGACTGAGTCGACAGCCGACGTCTATACCCGGCAGAAGAGACCCGGCAGAAGAGAAATGTCGTCACGGCCATTTGGACCAAGGTGGCAGACAAGGTGAACTCCCTCAAGATGACACTGGGCCGGGAGCGCAGGGAGGACCTTAACCATGGGGACTGGGATGACCCAGTGACGGAGGTGGTGGACGCAGACGAGCGGCGCAGTCCACACGACGCTCTATGGCTGACACCCCGCCTTTGGACGAGGGCTCCCCACAGCCGGACCAGATCACCCCTGGCGCCACTGGTTCGTGGGATGTTGTGGAAGGTGAAGACAATGGTTTGGGTCACTTCCTTGCCCAGGCCAGCGACCTGCCCCCAGAGGGCGACCAAGATGACCAGGATGACTCCTACCAGGTGATCAGCTCGAACACGGTACGGGGCCCGGACAAGCAATTTCGGGTCCACCTCCTCACTGTGGAGGGGTTCTGCTTGGGATGTGGTTGGCGCCCCAGAAGCACCCAGATGACTGTGCTGACACCAGGGGAGTATTGGGCCAACCCCACGGGCTATGGCAAGTGCAGACGATGCTTTGCCAAGGGCGACCTCCCCAAATCGTGGTTCGTGAGCCAACATGGCACAGTGGAAGGGAAGGACATCCCTGACCTCGAGGTAGACACGGGGAGCTCAGCCACATCGGGCTTGGAGACAGACGACTCCGTAGACACCCAGTCGGAAGCTGATGCCGTGCCACTGCCAAAGGTGCTCCCGGTTGAATCCATTTGAGGCATTCCGCTCTCGGCTGCCTCTCCGTCCTGACCCACGGCCAGGCGCCCCTTGGCCCTGGAATGGTGTCGGGGCGGAGCAAGACCCCAGGACACACACCTCGGCCTGCCTGCATCCTTCGGAAATGGCGGGTGTCCCAAACCCCCCATGGGCCCGTCCTGCCTCCACATTGGCCCGCGTAGGAGCCAAGATCCTGGCACTGACAACTCCATTCACCGACCAAGTCATGTGGTCGATTACGTGCGGGTCCAAACAACACCCATATCCGGCCCCACTGCTGGAGGACATCAGGCAGGTCCTCCACCCCGGCCACCAACATACTACACCAGACGGGCAACCCTTCTACCTGGAGCTGATCTCGCAGCTCGCAAACACAGCCGGGGACCCAGACTGGCAGTACCCTCAGATCCTCGCTACAGGCGTTCCTCTGGGGGGTCTCGGTTCCCACCCTCCCTTCACCGGGAGTGTGGCCTCTCAAGAGTGAACTTGCGGGAGAAGACCCAGTGGAAGCGCCACTGGATGACCCCAAGGGACATCACAATTACCCATCGGCAGCAGACTTTTCCAGAGAGATTCGGGCCACCTTCGCAGAGGAAGTCCCAATGGGCATGACGGTGGGCCCGCTGTCTCAACAACAAGCGGCCGAACTCTGTGGATGTGACCCGGCAGAGCTCTCTGCCCAGGCCCCCTGGCGGGAATTGATGAGGGGGATAAGGTCCGAACCATCTATGATGGATCGATCGGCGGGTGTGCCAGGCAGACCTCCGGACTGGGCGAATCCTACTGCCTGACACACCCTTGTCCCCCTGGCGAAGTCCAGGGCATTTTGAAACTGACCAAGTGATACAGGGTCTGGGGGAGGACACCAGCATCAACCAAAGCGCATTGGAAAAAGACTGCATGCAGCTTTTTGCGCTCTTGGGATCTTTTTTGACTTCTGGGTACATTATATGATATATACTATATGATATACTGTATATATATATATACTATAAAGCTTAATTATCTAACTGTCCAGCCTCTCTCTCGGATGGTGGTCCTTTTCGTGCCCCTTTTCGTGCCAGTTCTCCCTAAGCTGCGGCCCGGCCCTTCCGTGGCGCCCGAGGCCAGCCCCGCCGTGGCGTTGCGCCTGCGGGCGCTGTCTCCACCCGAGGTGTCCTTCGACGGGGCTGGCGGCGGCCCCGAGTTGCTTTTGCAGGGCCTCAGCCTGGTGCCTCACGTGGAGGCGGACCGTGTGGTCCCACAACCGGTTGATGTCTCTTCGGTTCTGGTGGACGAATCACCCACAGGGGGGTGGAAAGCTGACGTTGGGAGGGGTAGAAGTGCTGTAAGGTTGTAGGCACTGTAGACATGTCAACTAGTCAGTGAGGCATTTACTATCAAATCGTTTACTTATGTTTTATGCTTGCTTGCCTTGCTTTGCCTTGCTTTGCTTGCTTACTTGCTTCAAGGCATGGGAATCCCTCTTTGGTCAGTCAGGTCTCCATCCTCATCACTTCTGTGCGTTTGGGCCGTGGTGGTGGGCCCAGCCGCTACTCTTTGCAAACCTTTCGGACGCCCTACGAGGGGGCGCCTGGGCGGCAGTTGCAGCCGGTCCGAAGGTTTTGGTAGAGGAAATGACAAAGATACACCATAGATTCTATTTGTCGAGGGAGGAGGTTGTGTTCAATGAGGTTGTGTTTGTAGAGGAACGAGGTCTTGCGAAGGTTCATGGTTCGCTATTGTCATGATGCAATGTATTCTGTGCCTCGGATATCCTCCAGTCGAACTGACAGAGTGGTCCCTTATGATTTGGGATTTGTAGGTCAGGCACATCCTCCATTGGCCCACTGAAACGTGCCCCCAGGCGTCTTGGAGCGCCATGTGCGATGTTGGCATCTTCCATCATCATATTGTTCGGGCCTTCTCTGTCACAGCCTCCGCGCACGGAACGCGCGCAGCTAGCGCCCTCCTTACCACGATGGTGCGCGCGCTCGTCGGTCGACGTCTCAGGTAGTGGATGAGCGCTTGGACTTCTTTGGCTTCTACCAAGCGGGGCGTGCTGAGGTCTCTGGCACTCTACAGGGCTCCCACATGCTGGAGCCGACCGGGTGGCTGCGCACGTTGCCACCCCGGGCTGCGGAGAAGGGCACCTGGGAATGGATGGAGTTGGTCGGCGGCTCCTAGTTGGGTTCTGGGTGATGGCTTGTGCGGCGTTGGTTTGGTTGTTGACGGCCTGCTTTTGGTGGCTCTGGTGGATTTCGTTGAATTTTGATGACTAGGTTTTGATTGCTTCTTCTGTTGGCTTTTATTGTTTTGTTCGCATATGTTCGCATGTTGATGCATTTTGTATACCATCGCTTTGGATCTTTTTGGTGGCTTGACACTTGATTTGCTCTTGGGGGAGGTGCTCCGCCCTCCCCCCCAACCCCCTCCAGCTTTTTCAAGCCAAGCCAAGTCAACCAAACCTCCAAAAAAAAACCTAAACCACAGCCGAAGTAAACTGCGATCCCAAGCTGCTTAGGGTAGGGGAAGACCCCTGAAAAACAGCACCCTCCCCAGAGGCACCAGGACTACGCTGCTGGGGACTTTCCTAAAGCCACTAGCAGCCGAAGCAAAACCAAAAACATACATAAGTACAGACATGATTCCAAAACAGATTCCAAAACAAAGAAACAAAAACACAACCAACAACCAAAACAAATTCCAAAGCTATCATCGCAACCACTTTTTCCAGCATGATGGGCTTGTGGTGTCCTAAACTCCCTTTCTAGAACGCCTCACGAGGATTCATCACTTTGAACCTCGTCTTCTCGATGGACCTGTTTGCTGGTGATGTTTTGATTGTCACCTGCCAGGGCTTGGGACCCTCAGCTGCAATCTGCCGAAGTTGGGCAAAGGACCTTGAATATCAATGAACATCATCGAATCATCATCGCTAGTGAGCCGCTAGTGTTTGTCGACGATTTGGACAAAGCTATGTTGGGCTTGTTCCTTGTTCCGTCGTTGGATGGCGTTCGGTGATGTGGAGATGGGCGATGTCGGAACATCAACCTCAACCTCAACTCAGACTTCTCAACTCTGGAGACTTGGACTTCAACTCAGACTCCAGAGATTGCTCCAAGCAGCTAGGTCCACCTGATGGGTGACGCGAAACAGCTACCTGACGATGTGAACCATGTGGCCATGTGCACGTAAGTAAGTGCGCCTTTCAACCTCAACATCCACCTGATCGCGGGTCGCTGTAATTGGGACGCTGCAGCTCTACAGTTCATTTGCGGCAAGATGTTGCACAGTATCCCAGAGGCCCCATGAATAAGTATGACTTTGCATTAGCTTCGGACTTTTGGCTGGTTTTACTGCAAAATGTTGATATTGACCTTGGAGGCTCAAAACACGGCCACCGGAACCGCTCCTTGTTTTTTCAGGGCCTGACCTTCGGCCACCGCCGTTGCTCGAGCCGGTCCACTTGGTGAGGTGCCTATGTGCTCTTCAGCGACTCGCTGGTGATGGAGCGCCTGACCTTCGTCCTGACAGGGGAGGCGATGCCCGTGCTCGCCAGCAACCAGGGCGAGCACGAGTTGCACATCGCGCTGGACACCGGCCACCGGGCGAATTGTTCACACTAAACCCATGGGTGGGGGGGGGGCAATATTTTGAGACACCCATATCATGTCCCCAAACGCGGGGTTTCTCTTATCCTATGGTTCCTTCAACCTTGGTTCCATTGGTGCCTGATATGAATCTCCAGGTTTGAAGTGGCCCCGTGGCCATAGAGATATCTGTTCTGGCCTATTCGTACGAAAATGGCTGGACAAATTGGCCAAATGAGGCCCAAATGGTCATTTTGCAGCTCAGGAAGGTTCATCAGGTGACCACCAGCTTGGAATGACCAAGGCGGCAATGCTTCCAATGGCTCGGCGTTGGTTGCTGCCCAGTTTGCTAGGCTGCACTTTCAGGCTGGGTTGAAGCAAGTGGTGTCATGCTGCCATAGCAGGGCCTTGTGTTCTACACCACGTCTACAGTACGTACGAGGAACCAAAAGCCTTTCCTTCCATCCTGCGTGGAGGACCTTGGAAGCAGGTATCTGACAGAGGAATCCAGAAGAGGAGTCATAAGGGACTTTCCCCACTGTGGCATTTGGTTTGGGCTTGAGAAGGCTTGTGCTGGGACAGCCCCAGCTTGGATGGTCCGAACACCATGCAAAAGTGGGGCTGTTGAGTTGAGATTGAGCTTCTTGCCCATGAAGAGCTCTTCACCATGACGAGCCAAAGTGAGGTGGCCGATGAGTGGATTGGTGAATTACCTTGAATCTGGCTGGGCAGGTGGTCGTGCGAGTGTCCCGAATCCCCCAAAGCCATCAACAGCCAAGGTCTTGTGATAGCCTCATGGCCCCAAGCACATAGCTTGGTGAACCTGTTCCGCGCAAAGCGCCAGGAAACTTTCAAGGGAACTTGCAGCTCCACATGGCTCCACGCTTTTCGGACCTGTTTGGGGATGGAGAGATCCAAACCTGAAAACAGCCACACCTGAGGAGTTGGAATCTTCGTGGATGCCATGTTCAGGGGTCGTCTTGGTTTTTCAACCTTCCTCAGGCCATCCCCACGGCTGAAGCCAACACCTGGAAGGTCGATAGCCACATGGCAGCATTGCTTTGCTAGTCTTTTGCGTGATGTGGATGGAGGTCTGTGTTGGCATTGGACATCACTAGTGGCATCTCTGGACAGAGGAAAACAGACACGCTGTGAGTATGTTGGCCGTTCGTTCTACGGTAGATGCCGCTGGACTCAAAGCGGTAGAGAACCACTCCCGGTTCGGTTGCCACGGTGGCGTCGCCGCACGGTCGTTGGCGGTGCCATCTACATCTCATCTACTCTGAAAGCGTTGTATTTCCTTTTCAGTTTGGAATCCCCACCTCCTGACAGAGTAACTAGCTTATTCCATGTATTCTTCCCTTGGTTTTCCCATGATTGTGCACGATTTCCACTTCACCTGAGGTGGTCAGACCATCGAACTTTCTGGAAACGTGAGCTTGCATGAACACCCATAAGTTGGGATATGCAGGTATACGTATGACTGCAGGGAAGGGAGCTTTGATCTCGCTCTCTCTCTCTCTCTCCCTATATATATATATATATCTCTCCCTATATCTATCTCAATAGCGTATATATATATATATATTTGTGTCCGACTTTCTTTACATGATGTTTGCATGTACATGTTTCGCCCCAACGTTTCAATCAAACACTGTGGCTAGCCTTTCGGTCATGGTGTTGCTGGTGTTTTCTGGTTTTGAGGCTGGAGCGGCAGCACCCTCAGCAACACCAACGATGGGACCTTCCCGGGGTTTCAGCCGGTTCTTCCGCTCTTCGTGGAGCTGGTCCCGACCCGAGCGCCCCCCGACGCGCGCATCGCGGTGAACCTGAAGGCGTGCAGCGTTGGACGGCCTCCGTGGGTGCTGTTTTGGGATGCAAGGTTGGATGGGTTCGTCATGGTGAAGTTGGTTTCAGATGGGTGGATGGCGTTCGGGCCCTTTTGAGGTGAGAGCAGTTTCCAAGCAGCTATGCTCTTCGGGGATGTGCCCCCAGAAACGCCGGTCGACATGGCTCGCCAGAGGAAAGCGAGACCTGCGCAGGTCACAGCTGCCGCCAGTAGCAACCAGCTGAGACTGGTGGCGCCCGAGGGCTTTCGCTTCCCCAGCTTATGCGGAGACTTGTGTGCCTCCTTCGGGGAATTCTTTGAGGCCGGTGAAGTGGAGCTATGAAAGGTGGACTGTTGATGAATGAAAGCCCCTTCAGATGAAGAGGATGTGCAATCCCAATGGGGCGGATTTGTTAATCAACGAATCGACAGTGTAACAGTGTACATGATCGAGAACACTCGAGAAACTGGTGGAGACTGAGGATCTTGAGCTGCAGAAAACGGATAGGGGGCAGGCAACATGTGTCAACCTGATCTCGTGGTTGACACAACACTGACCACACGAAGACTATTTTCTTCCCGTGGACACGGGTGGTTTTCAGGTTCTATGTTTAGCTTACCGCGGGTTACATGAGGAAAAGTGCATGCAAGGCAGACATTCCAATCTTGATGCGACCAATTATTTTGCCGCCTGGGCCGTCTCGCTTTAAGATGGGTTCAGCAAAAGTTCAATGACGTGAATATGTCGAGGCTTTTCAGGCCAGGCAGGTTCCTACCTCCGCCAGGACACCGCGCGGGCCATGGCCACCCTCTCTTCCTCCTCCTCGCTGCTGGGGGAGTCCCTGACCTTCCAGGTCCTCACGCCCCTCCGCACGCCACAGGCGCCGATCCGAGACGCCCCGACCGAGACGGAGACGGATCCGAGCCCCCCCTTCGACGCCGACGAAGAAGGGGACCGGACCCGGGCACCGGGTTCAGCACAGAGTTTCGCCACCAAAACGTCACGGTGGCGGTGGGGGTGGGGAGTTTTGGGATGCAACATGCCACCGCTCCATCCATCCATCCCACAGCGGAGGTCGTCACTTGGCTCGTGCGCGCCTACGGTCCCACTGGACAGTTGGATGGCTGGGGGGTCGCTGCAGGCGCCGGCGTTGCGGAGCACGTCCGACGTCCCAAACAGTTCTGGGGAATTAGGAGGAACTTGGACAGGTTCAGTTGAGATTCACAAGGGCGCGGTTGAAATCAGAAACAGAATGGGACAGACCCACATCCCGTGAAGTTGCTTGAGGGTTCAGATCAGGCTTCAGATCAGGCACAGCTCTTCGTCAGTTTTATTTGGTTTGTTCCGCCGTGCGAGTTGATGATGTGGATGCTAGTGCTGCTATTGACACACTCACCACATCTCCCACCAGCCTGCTCGCAGCTTCGTGGATCGGATGAAGCTTCTGCTTTCGATGCGGAAGAAGAACACGCCATGGGACTAGACCTTCTTGTCAACTAGTAAGCGCCTGACACCACGTGGGTCCGGGCACTGGGTAAGGAACACTCTGAAACGGCTCAGCCCTGAGGGACGAGTGTCCGTGTGGCCCAATGTGCCTCGCCTCGCGCGCGCGCGCGGGCCACGTTCCGTGGGTGCCGAGGGCGTGGTGGTGGGCTCATATATCTGGCGTCAGCCAGCTGCGGCCGTGAGGCTTCAAGGTGGACCAGATGCACGTGCAAGTTTGGTACGGTGCCGTGCCAGGCGCTCTTGGAGAATGTGTCGATGGAGAAGGTAGACTGGGTGATTGAAGGCCCCTTTTTGATCTGGTGGAGATGTCAAGCCCCTACCCTTCCAAGCCCAATCGAGAAGTGGTGGTGGACCTGGTTTTGCAGAGCAAAATCCTTGTATCATAATAGATCAAAATCCTTAGTACCACAACGGGTGTTTGGCAACAGCCATAGGTTCATGGTGGTTGGAATCCTATAAAAAAATGGTTGGAGCAGGTTATTGATCAACAGGAAAAACATGGACGGCGTGTGGTCTTAGGTCAACCAAGGGCTCCATCTCCGTTGCCGGATGCGGTCGGAGTTCTTCCAGGGCTAAGAAGGCCTAAGCTCATTTGAAGGGGAAATGTGACACATGCCTCAAAAGGAAGTGGTGCGCCTCATTTTGCATGTCAGATGGGAAAACCAAATGGGCATGAGATGTTCGTTGGGTTGGCTTGGTTCCTTGGTTGGTCTGGTCCTGTTTGTGTTGCTTAGGGCTTAGTAATGTCTTAGTCATCCTAGTCTCTGAGCTTTCCTCTTCGCTCAGAAGGGACTCCTTCTGCGCGCCAGGCTTGCAGAATGCCGAGCTCGCCTTCGTGTTCACCTTGGACCTTCGATCGATTCGGTCGTTTCGGCTCTCAGTCCGTCACCGGTCGACCGGAGCGGACCGGAGCGGACCGGACCGGTCCAACGGTCGGGACCGTGCCGGATCAGGTCTCAACATTGAATCACAGGGGACATTCCGAAATCAGAAGATGTGTTATGTGAAGATGATTGAAGATGTGTGATGTGATGTGAGACAGCGTTCATTCAATGAAACATCATGAAACTGAACGATGTTTGCAGCATCATGATGAATCAGTACATGTTGTCTAGTGGTCCCCAACCATGCCCAAGCTGCTCTATATTATATACTGTATCTATCTCCATTTTAGAAACAATTTCCAGCTATATATATATATGCTTTTGGGCAAAGTCATCAATCTCTGCACTTGATGGGGTGAGCCTACATTGATCTTGATGAGGTGAGCCAACTCTGCCCAATAATTGTCACTTTTGCACCACTCCAACGTGCGCATCGCGAATACCGATTTGTGCGCAGCACCCCATCACCAGCACACCAGCACCACCTTGGGCGTCTTTGGGCAGTATGACTCAATTCAGGCCCATGTTCAACTGGCATAGGGGGGGCACCAATTTCAGACATATCCCGCCCTCCAATGCCCTTTGTAAAGGGTGTGTTCTTTGAGGATGCCCAACTTGTGGGCGCCCTTGTGGACCCAGGACCTGGCTTTCTTTCTGTGTCCAGGTGGAGGATGGAAACATCCACATCTTGGGGTGAATGGTTTGGCCATCGAACACGTTGAGAGAGGATGCCAGGGTCGAACATCCCACTGACCATCCCATGAAAACTGGATGTCCTGGCGAAAACGACCCCTACACCACTTGGGGATCTCGATTGGGTTCCCCTTGGATGGTCCAGGTCGTTTTGCCGTGTGATTTGTTTTGGACATTTTTGGACCCCTGGCCAGTTTGAGGAGACTCAGGCAACCTGGCAGTGCTTGAAGAACACTTTGCTTCCCTTTCGGCTCGGTGCTCCCTTTTCGGTGACACCGAGCCGGTTCGGTTTCAGAGACCCCCGAGCAGAGTTGGGATCCGAATCCGAAGGGCCCGGACGGATCCGAAAGGGAATGAGTTCGTTGAGTGATGGGCGTGACGCGAAGTGACCGAAAGGGAACGTAGGAAGTGGAGGGTTGGGGGGATCGAACGCATGTACGTTCCATCTTGCAAGGCAGTGATAGAAGACGGAATGTTTTCCTAGTGGTGGCAGACAGGCTGCCTAACAGGAGCTCCTAAGCCTACCAGATCCTACTAAGTGAGGGTCATGTTTGGCGCGGTGCTGTGAACGGCTTGAAAGGCGCCGTCATTCATGATATTTGTTGAAGAGGCCTCATGGGTATCACCGCAAAGGCGTTGAACACCCAACGTGGAGCTGCAGCATTGTCTCAAAGGACAGTTTCTAGAAAATTTGACCTGATTATATAGATCAAATGCTGAAGCCTTCTTTTTTCCGCATCTGCATGCGGAAAGACCTGGAAAGACGGTTGTTTCAGTCTGTGAAAGGCTACAGCGGCTAGCCAAAAACCGTCGCTCCGTGTGGCGCCGACCGGAGCACCGGGAGACGGAGCCAAGGAGATGAATCTGCGCATCATCGAGGTGCAGGGACCCTCGGAGGTGCAGATCTCCTGCACCTTGGAGGGACACCGAAGCAGAAAACCCGATGATCCATCCATGGGACTGGAATAGTTACCTGTCTATCCATATCTCTCCTATCTCCTTCAGGGATCTTCAGGGAGAATAAGAAAAAAGGTGGTATTAAATGCGGTAAATGATGGTAAATGTAAAACATATATATATATAAATATATCTGTGTGATTGTATTTATATACATATATATAGCTATTCCATACATGGATGGTCTGGGGGATGTCTGACGGCCTCGTGACGGTGGGATTGGGATCGGCACACTCAGGGGCACGGAAAAGGGGGTTGGTCTGTGGAACGCACTGAGTCAAAGGATTCACAGCCATGCCGGGCAACCCCTCTAGGCACCCCTTGAGGGCTTGAGTCATGAAGTGAAGGATGAGTTTGGGACTTCCTTTGACGAAGTCAGGTGAAGTCTTAAAGCTCCACGTCCAGCAACACGTCCACCACACCCTGGAACCATGGCTTCAGGTTTGGTGACGTCTGTGTTTTGGATCAGACAGGGCCTGTGAGAACTCGATGGTTGACACGACCCTGGGTCCTCTGGAAATGCCGTTGGAGCACGTGGTTGAGACGGAGAGCGCCCTTCCTTGACTCCTTGACTGTAGGACTCGAGAAATCAGGCACCACACGTTGTGCCGCAATTCCTCGACTTGAGACCCGGGCAGTGTTTTTTTTATAAGAGTTCCGGAAATCACTCTCGAATTATTGATGGAATTCTAAGAGACATGTGTGGAACAAATTTGAGATCATTAGCGTGACTGCGCTAAGAACGAGGTGAGAATTCGTTGAAGCCGCTGAACCTTCCTGAGGCCACTGAAGGGTTGGACGATGTTGGGCGGGGTGGACTCTGCAAAGCTAATGATGCAATTCCGAGTTCCTTTCAATTCCTGCTTTTCGATAGTTGGAGGTTATGAAGATCGAAATATATGTGTGTTATAGTAAAAACATATTTTAGGAGGCTGGCGATGCACATGATCCAGTTGGGGTGGGGATCCTGTGCTCATGTCTCAACTCCTCTCATCGCAACTTAGGACATCGCAAGATCTTCTCAAAAACCCGACCCCAAACAAGATCGAACAAGACAAAACAGCGCTACAGCTCCCTTCCACTCCAATATCAAAGGCTGCACCCAACCAGAGGGGCGAGATGTCGGACGGCCAAAAGAACAGCCGCGGCACAAACTTCCTCATGCCATGCGGGCAGCGATGATGCTACACCATCGCGGGGCCAAACCAAAAAAACGGTCTAATGCTGACTGTTGATGACGTTGATGCAAAACCACTGTACATCCCTTTACCGGAATGGTTGATTACATCTCCACTACTTACTGCGTGGCTTTATTAATAAACATGATTCCTCACAGGTTGAAGAGCCAGGCTCCCCCCGCTACTGGCCAACTGAGGCCTCCTGCGCGGCGGAGGGTTTAGGCCAACTGCGCTTGGAGCTGGGGAGTTCCTTGCAGAGTGGCGCCTGGGAAGAAAATAAGAGAGGAAGACCAGGTAGAGGCTGGGGCGACCATTGCTGGCGAGATGCAAATCAAGATGCCAGCGCGGGTTGGTGAATTATCGATTGTGGGGAGTTTCGAGAGGAGGATTCCCAGGTATACGCTGAAAAGTCTTCTTGCGCTGTTTTTTTTGTTGTTGTTGACTCTACTTCCAAAAGGCACAGGAGTCGCAGGAGCTGCTTATTTTGGAGTTGTTCTTTTTTTTGGGGGGGTCCTTTATCGGAGACTCTCCCCCCTCATTCCGTCCTGAAAGAATGCTGGCCCAAAGGAATAGTCAGTGGAGACTTGCACAGGACCCCTGCGCAGATCAATGTGGCCGTTTGAAATCATGCACAGAACAATGGCGGACCCGAAGGAGGTTGATTGTGGACCCCACCTCACTGACCTCTTCACTCCTTCCTTTTGAGGCACCTATGCCTTCAGCGTGCACGGGGATTTGCCCACCGTGACTCCTCCGCAGAATGACTTCTCCATGATCATCCGGCAGGTGCCCACGGAGCAGGTGCGAGCCTGGGTGTGGCGAGGAAAGGAAGCATCAGAAACTGCAGGTGACTGGATGTCTGTGATCAAGGGGTTTCATGTGTGGCTTTTCAATGCTCAACTTCTGAATGCCCACCCTGAGCTCCCAAAGGGTTGCTGTAATGTCCCAATATGTTCCAATTATTATTGATTCTTGCGGACAAAATAAGGTTATATAAATATAGGTGGTTGACATCAAGACGCGCAGGAGCTCAGACGCCATCGCGTCCATAGTGGCCATAGGACGCCCTGCTGCGACCTCCGATTCCCAGGTGGCCGACGCGGCCTTTGGTGTGCCAGGATGGCCTTTAGGGGAGTTGGAGACGTCTCAGCGACTCAGAGTCGTTGAGGTTAGCATTTTTGGACCTTTTTGGGCTCTGTCAGAGTCGTTGAGTTTGTGTGTGATCTTGTAGGTTTTGAGGGGGTGTAGGGGGCTTCGGCTGCTGGTGCTTTTGGGTTTAGTGGAATGTTGCTTTGGACCCCGCAGATGCCAGCTGATCTTGGATCATTATTAGTTCATGTGGTTTTGATTTCGGCTTGTCTCCAAATGATGTCCGCTTGATACACGCAAGGAAGGGGAATGCATACTGAATCATTTAGAGTCCATTTTCTGGAATGCAGTCATTCAACGTTCATGACTATATTCCAGTATTTCTGCATAACCTCCGAACTAGTAGCAGTTATCAGGGGTGAACACCGAAGTTTGCCTTGTCTACTTTGGTCAAACCATCCTCAGAGTAGGTCAGCTTGATGTCTTCGAGGCCACTCTTAGCCTGGAGCACTGCCGGGGTCGGAGAGGCGAGACTGAGAGGTAGGGTACTTGCACCCTGCCCCGAGAGGTAGGAGGCAAGTCTTGTTCTAAAAAATCTCAATGCCATTTAATGACGCGTGTGATGGGTTAATGCTGTTAATGATGACATAGCTCCATGGTTGCTTGGGATGTGAAGTACTTTTTTAGAAATATCGACACGATCCTGCATGGAAGCAAAGACAGTGTGTTTCTTCCGGAGTTGGGAACTCATTGTCATGGAAGGGAGCCGAATTCTATACCTGGACCCCTGCAGAGCTGTTGTTGTTTTGGACCCCTCGGCGCCAACTGAACCTTGGAACCAAGCAGCACCATTCTTTAAGTACACATGTCCAGGTAATGTGGCTGGATGCTTTGCACACTAAAGATTGATCTACCTGATGACTAGTACCACGTACGCAAGGGCGACCAAGTGCTCGTTGCAGCAACACGACCTAATATGACCTAATGGATAGATCACACTTATACGAAACAAGACAATGCAAAACTAGACCAGCATGTTTTTGCAGACTGTCGCGTATTTTCGCGTTTGCCCCGATGTCGAGAAAACCACAGACTCCAAATTTGATCATAATTTCCAGTTTTCATGTTCTTGCGTCCGGCTCCACAGAATCAAGTCACACATTTCGGACGCACGGCAGCTTGACACAGTGATTTGAGGGTATAGTATATATAGATACTGTAGTAGA